TTGGTATTGTTCTTTCACAAGTTCTGTCCCCTTTGTAATGTACAGCACTGAGTGAACTATTGGCGCTTTATAAATACTGTATAATAATAATAATAGAGCAATGGAAGAAAGTGGCCTGGTTGGATGAATCAAGTTTTCTTTTACATTATGTGTGTGGCTGGGTGCATGTGCATCACCTACCTGGGGAAGAAATGGCACCAGGATACAGTATGGGAAGAAGGAAAGCTGGTGGAGGCAGTTCATGGTTTGTGCAATATTCTGCTTGTAAACCTTGAGTCCTTCCATTCTTGTGGATGTTACTTATCATGTACCACCTACCTAAACAATGTTGCTGACCAAATACACCCCTTTATGGAAATATTTTTTCATGGCAGCGACCTATTTCAGCAGGATAATATATCTTGCCACATTGCAAAAATGGTTCAAGAATGGTTTGAGGAACACAACGAGTTTGATGTATTGACTTCTCCAGATTTTCCAAATCTCAATTCAATCAATCATCTGTGAGACAAACAAGTCAAATGCATGGGGACCCCACTTCACAACTTATAGGACTTAAAGGATTTGCTACTAATGGCTTGGTGCCAGATACCAACAAACAAAAATTCCCAGCTCACTTACCATCCAGCCTGCAACAAACTGAATTAACCAATCTTAACAGTTCACATTAAAACAAAAGGTTAAGTGCAAAAGTAAGCTGGGAACTTTTCTTTGTTGTTTTTTTTGCTGCAAATGCCAGTTATAGATTGGGGTGGTTGCCATTTGTTTGTATTGTTAGTTAGCCAGATACCACAGTATACGTAAACAGGTAAATAGAAGAGCCAGCAACTCTGTGACTCTGCAGAAAACGACAATCTTTAATGGCTTCTATAAAGGGATGTACGAAACCAGCATACAAAAGTGCTTTTTTGGATATGGTATCAATGGTTATAACCTTTGCAATGTGTTTTTCTGTCTTTGTCCCCTGTTTCAGCTCACAGGGGCCTTAGTCAAAGCTAAAAAAAATAATCTTTGAAGAGTTAATTATTTACCCCTCTCCTCTGATTTTGGAGGATGTTGGTATATAAGGGTATAAGAGAATGTGAATGTGCATGTTTTTTTTAGCTATGACTATGGCGCCTGTGGGCTGAAATGTGTTACCACTTTTGTAAGCTGGGTTATACACCCCTTAATAGAAGACAATAAACACTGCTGTTTTCTGTGGAGTCACCAACTTGCCTGCCCTTCCATTTACCTGTTTACATTTGCTGTAGCTTGTGGAAGCTGGGAGATAATTCCTGCAGAAGTGTGTGGAGATAGGAGCGCTGCCTTTGCTTTTATTTTCCTTGTGAGATACCACTGCATACCATCAAAGGTCTAGTGCAACCTTTTTTCGGTCAAAGCACCCTTTAAAACTATGGACAGTCCCGAGGCACCCCTTAAAATTATGGACAGTCCTGAGGCACCCCATTCTAAAATGGGCTCCCTCTAGACTGTCCATAATTTTAAAAGGGCACCCCATTCTAAAATGTGAAAACCTATTCTAATAGTTTTATATAACACAGCAATATCCACACATGTAGAACATCCAGCATTACAGTTGATTTATTCTTCCAAAGCAAATACATTTTTTCACGCTGGTACTGACTAGTATTCCAATGTTTTTTTTCTCCCTCAGTTTTTCTCCATCACTGAGCTAATGTGGCCCCAGCACTGATGGAGAGGGGCAAGGGAGGATCAAACTAGGATACTGTTCAGGCAGCCGACATCCTCGTTCTCAACTGATGATGTCATTGGATGTCAGGATGCTGGCGGCTAGAAGGTCATAATGGTGCACAATGAAAACCTGTGGCTTTGTGTAACTAAAAGGCAGGCTTGTTCCACTCACTGGCTTGTATACAAGTTTTGGGCAATTTTTAGAAATTTTTCCAAGGCACCCCTGAAGAAACCTCAAGGCACCCCAGGGTGCCTGGGCACCCTGAATGAGAAAGGCTGGTCTAGTGGCACCAATGCCTTGATGGTTCAGAGCAGTTTTGGTGGCAAAAGGGGCTGTTTTGGTGGCAAAAGGGGGACCTACTCATTATTAGGTAGGTGGTCATAAAGTTATGACTGTATATATTTTTATTATAGCTAAATAATAATAAACAATAACAACAAATGAAACATTTACTCTTGCTTTTAATCTTTCATGTAGAAACACAGAGAGATATCTACATTACATTCTTCACTGCCCTAGTATGCAGCGTAGGATTCTCATCATTACGTTTTATACTGGGCATACACTTTTGAAAATTAATTTTGCAAACCTAAGTCATTCTAAATTTGCCTTAAGTAAACTGAGATTCAGTTGGACTCAGAAATTTACATTTATCTGCAGCTGTATGAACCTTGCATTTTGATGAGGACTGGCACTTTAACAACATGACAAACTTTGATATACACACTTATGCAAAGATAATGTATTAAATATGTTAGCATCTGCAAAAACATTTATTAGTTTACATTGCCTTAGGGGGTTTCAATTTTTAAAGCATTCATATGTCTAAGGAACTTAGAGATTTTGTCAGACATGAGGTCTCACTGTGGTAAAGAAAGAATCAGTCACAGAGGACACTGTTTTGAAGCTAAGTAGAACATAATATACAGTGGGGCAAAAAAGTATTTAGTCAGCCACCAATTGTGCAAGTTCTCCCACTTATAAAGATGAGAGAAGCCTGTAATTGGCATCATAGGTAGACCTCAACTATGAGAGACAAAATGAGAAAAAAAATCCAGACAATCACATTGGCTGATTTGGAAAGAATTTATTTGCAAATTATGGTGGAAAATAAGTATTTGGTCACCTACAAACAAGCAAGATTTCTGGCTCTCACAGACCTGTACCTTCTTCTTTAAGAGGCTATTCTGTCCTGCACTCATTACCTGTATCAATGGCACCTGTTTGAACTTGTTATCAGTATAAAAGACACCTGTCCACAACCTCAAACAGTCACACTCCAAACTCCACTATGGTGAAGTCCAAAGAGCTGTCAAAGGACACCAGAAACAAAATTGTAGACCTGCACCAGGCTGGGAAGACTGAATCTACAATAGGCAAGCAGCTTGGTGTGAACAAATCAACTGTGGGAGCAATAATTAGAAAATGGAAGACATACAAGACCACTAATGTCAGAAAGTCAGTTGTGCTTTGCAGGAAAGTAGCAGTATTCTTGACTAACGGTTTTAAAATGTTTTTCTACAAAGCCTATGATTTGTTCGGTGCATGTATTCATACCTGTTATGGTGGGTCTGCCTGGATTTCCTGGATTGTGGATTTTTTGGGCAGCATGTAGAAGTCCCTGATTTCTGGATGATCCAGAATCGCATTTATAAGTTCTGAATGTAGGTGGGCTCAAATACTCAAACACACACGTCAACTTCCTAGACATCACAGTATACATCAGGGATTCACACCTCAATATACAGGAAACCCACTGACAGAGCAACTACCTCCACAGTTCCAGCTTCCACCCCCAACACACGAAGCGTGCCATCATACACAGTCAGGCCATAAGATACCACCGAATATGTTCTGACCCAAGAGACAGAGATAAACATCTCGGGACACTAGCAGACACCTTCCATAAGAAAGCTTACAAGGCCAAAACTATCAACACCAGCATAAACACAGCCTTGAGAACCCGAAGAGAAAATCTACTTTAGTACAAAGAGAAAAAAACAAAACAACCGTGTACCTCTAGTAACCACATACAACCCAGCACTAGAAGGGATAAGAAAAATAATCAAAGATTTACAACCCATCATAACAGAGGATGGAACTCTGAAAGAAATATTCCAGCAACCCCCAATACTGGCCTTCAGACAACCCCCCAACCTCAGAAATAAACTAATCAGTAGGAAACTTCCTTCTGATCAAGATGTCACAAGTAATGGACGCGAACCCTGCAATACAAAACGCTGCAAACTGTGCAACCAAATCAATCCATCAAAAAGTGTTAGACACTCAAAAGGGATCTTCAATATTTCTGGATCATACAACTGCACCTCCAGTAATGTTGTGTACCTTATCCAGTGCAGAAAATGTAACAAAGGATCTTATGTTGGAGAAACAAGACATAAGTTGCAAACAAGGATGAATTTGCACAGACATACCATCAAGGAACATAAAGAAGATGACTTCTGCACACCTGTGGGACACCATTTCACACAACCAGACCACATCATGGAAGACCTCAATATTTTAGTTCTTAACCACTTGCCTACCGGGCACTTATACCCTCTTCTTTACCAGGCCAATTTTCAGCTTTCAGCGCTGTCAAGACACTTTGAATGACAATTGCGTGGTCATGCAACATTGTACCCATATGAAATTTTTATCATTTTTTTTCTCACAAATAGAGCTTTCTTTTGGTGGTATTTAATCGCCACTGGGCACTTTACTTTTTGCACTATAAACAAAAAAAGTGCAAAACATTTGAAAAAAAAAACAAGTCTCTTTGTTTCTTTTATAAAATTTTTCAAACAGGTAATTTTTCTCCTTTCACTGATGTGCATTGATGAGGCAGCACTGATGGGCACTAATAGGCGGCACTGCTGGGCACTGATAGGCAGCACTGATGGGAACTGATAGGCAGCACTGATAGGCAGCACTAATGAGGTGGCACGGATAGGTGGCACTGATAGGCAGTACTAATGAGGTGTCACGGATAGGCGGCACTGATAGGTGGCACTGATAGACAGCATTGATAGGTGGCACTGACTGGCATCACTGCTGGGCACTGACTAGCGGCACTGCTAGGCATTGACTGGCATAACTGCTGGACACTGACTGGCACAACCACTGGGCACTGACTAGTGGCACTGACTGGCAGCACTGCTTGGCTGCACTGATGGGCACTGGTGGGTGGCACTGGTGGGCACATGTGGGTGGGCACAGGTGGGTGGCACTGCTGGACACAGGTAGGTGGCACTTCTGAGCACAGGTGTGTGGCACTGCTGGGTGGCACAGGTGAGTGCACTGCTGGGCACAGGTGGGCGCACTGCTGGGCACAGGTGGGTGCACTGCTGGGCACAGGTGGGCGCACTGCTGGGCACAGGTGGGCAGAACTGGTGGGTGGCACTGCTGGGCACCGATCATCAGGGCACTGATCATCAGTGCCCTGATGATCGGTGCAGATCCCTGCTCTGACAACTGCCGTTTCTCAGCAGTATTTTCCTCATGCTCTGACAGCGTGAGGAAAGTGCAGCCGAGAACCGGCAATTGCATTTCCCGGTGATCAGCGTGTCATTGGACATGGCTGATCACGTGGTAAAAGGCCGCTGTGATTGGCCTTTTACTACATCACGTGATCAGCTGTGTCCGTAGGACCAGCGATCACGGAGATCGCCGGGTGCGCGCCCCCGGGGGCGCAGGAGAGCGCGTTCTGGGAAGACGTGATATGACGCCCTCCCAGAACTGGCCAGCCGCAGTGTAGCCGTCATTCGGCTATCTGCGGTGGGCAGGTGGTTAAAGGAAATTTCAAATCCATTCAGGAAAGAAAAACTTTTGAACTAAGAATGATAATTCTATTTGACACAAGAGATAACAGCCTGAATATGGACATGGGATTCCTCAATCATTATCCAACAGTTTTATGACTATCAGCTCAAGCTTGACTCCTTCTGTGTGAGTGTTGTATCCCCCCCCCCCTTTGCTTTTGCTGTTTCTTATCTCTAGCCTCTTTTTTTTTTCATCTCTTCTAACATTCTGCTAAACTTTGTGATATGTATAGTACTGCTTGGACCTTGAAGAAGGGGACACTCCCCGAAAGCTTGTCCTCAAAATTGTATGTTAGTGCAAATAAAAAAAGTATCACGGACAGTACTCAATTGTTTCTGTCGCAAATGCACTAATACGGCTACAATCACCTCTTGAAATTGAAGTAAGTCACTTGTTATAGGGAAAGATTATTATTCGCTATAACAAATTGGATTTTGTGACAACTGTATAAACGTCTTGGAGAGTAAATGAGTAAATTATGTAAAATCTAATCTAAAAGAAGTTGTAGATTTTATATATATATATATATATATATATATATATATATACAATAAAACTATTATTTATACACATTTAGGACAGAAAGATACATATATATATATATGTATACATATATCCATATCCCCATATAAACCTAATAATTCACATACTACACTACTTATTGGTTAGAGATATGGCATCATACATACCCTATTTCACCACATTAAATATAATAGGATTACACATAACAACCGGTGTTAATATTCAGTATTCCTTTCTAACAATGGGATCTTGTGCCAGGATAAAATCTTTTATAGATATCTTGTGACATTGTGTTATTTTAAAATCATATATTTCTAAATATGTCTGTGATATTTATAATGGTTTTGTTCAGAAAAAGAATTTAGTTCAGAGGAAGTTTTGTGAGAGGTGTTCGTCTCTTGTTTACTCTTCCCAGAGCTAAATCAATGCTAAGTTATTGAATGGCCAGAAGCTAATTTGTTGAATCCAGAGTCTACATACAAGATGTCTCCACAGTTTACATCTATAGAGCCTGGAAAGATTGATAAATATTGTTCATTTGCTCCGGGTGCAGTAAATAGGACAGAAACCCATTGCTGCAAGGTGTCCTTGCTTTTCTCATTTCTGTACTCACTTCATTTACAAAAGCAAACTATCTCAGTTGACAACGCGATTGTATCCTGCTTAAACTGAGACCTGAAAGTGACCCTGGATTTTTTAGCCTCTTAACATTAAGACAAATCTACACTATTCAAAAAAATGAAAGAAACGCTTTGAAAACAGATCAGATCTCAATGGGGAAAAATATCATGCTGGATATCTATACTGATATGGACTGGGTAATGTGTTAGGGATGTAAGGATGCCCCATCATTTCATGGAAATGAAAATGATCAACCTACAGAGGACTGAATTCAAAGATACCCGGAAAAACAAAGTGAAAAAATGATGCAGCAGGCTAGTCCATTTTGCTGAAATTTCATTGCAGCAACTCAAAATGGTACTCAGAAGTTTGTATGGAAGTGTGCTTGTATGCATACCTGACAATGTTGGGGCATGCTCCTAATCAGATGATGGATGGTGTCGTGGGGTATTTCCTCCCAGATCTGGACCAGGGCATCACTGAGCCTCTAGACAGTCTAAGGTGTAACCTGGCGGTGTCGGATGGACCGAAGCATGATATCCCAGAGGTGTTCTATTGGATTTAGGTCAGGCGAGCATCAAATCCTTCTTCCTTCAGGAACTGCCTGCATACTCTCACCACATGAGGCCGGGCACCAGGAGAAACTCAGGATCCACTACACCAGCATAGGATCCACTACACCAGTGGCCTGCTAGAGGTCATTTTGTAGGGCTCTTGCAGTGCTCATCCTGTTCCTCCTTGCACAAAGGAGCAGATACCGGTCCTGCTGATGGGTTAAGGACCTTCTACAGCCCTGTCCAGCTCTCCTAGAGTAACTGCCTGTCTCCTGGAATCTCCTCCATGCTCATGAGACTGTGCTGGGAGACACAGCAAACCTTCTGGCAATGGCATGTATTGATGTTCCATCCTGGAGGAGATGGACTGCCTGTGCAACCTCTGTAGGGTCCGGGTATCACCTCATGCTACCAGTAGTGACACTGACCCGAGCCAAATGCAAAACTAGTGAAAAACAATCAGAAAAGATGAGTAGGGAAAAAATGTCAGTGGCCTCCATCTGTAAAACCATTCCTGTTTTGGGGGTTGTCTCATTGTTTTTAGAGCTTGCTTGCCCATCTATTGCACCTCTTGTTAATTTCATTAACACCAAACAGATGAAACTGATTAACAATCCCCTCTGCTACTTAGCTGACCAGATCAATATCTCAGGAGTTTAATTGACTTCATGCTATACTCTGGTTAAAAAGTGTTCCTTTAATGTCTTTGAGCAGTGTAGTTTGAGTTGGAGAGAAGATAAAATATAATTTCTTCTCATAGAAATTCTGACACTTTTTACTTGCTTTTTCTAGCTTTTCCCTTAACCATAGCTGTACTGTGCTGGCAGATTTCATTATCAGTTTTAACTTACAGTAGCTGTGTACACTGTTTGTCCTAACAAAGGGTAAAAGATCTCACGGCTTGTGTGGTACATTTTATGCACTTTAAAAAAAAAGTCTACTAGTGTGTTTCTAATTTCACATTGTCCATAGAGTTATATACTGTATATAACACGTTTCAAAGAAACAACAATAAAGATAAGAAATATAATTATTTTTAAATATGTTGTATGAAATGGTGCACATATCCACTTCAGATCCATAAGATTTCACCCCCTTCACGACTAGGCCATTTTTTGCTATTCAGCACTGCTCTACTTTAACTTGTTATAACGTAGTTATGCAATGCTGTACCCACATAAAATTATTTTTTTTTTTTTTAACAAATAAACCTTTCTTTTGATGGTATTTGATCACCACTGGGTTTTTTTATTTATTATTATAAAAGCAAAAAATATTAAAAAAATAAAAATAAAACAATATTTTTTACTTTCTGTTATAAAACATAACCAATAAATAAATGCAAAAATTAAATTTCTTCATAAATATAGGCCAAAATGTATTCTGCTTTTTGTCTTATGTAAAAAAAAAGTGTATATTGATTGGTTTGCATGAAAGTTGTAAAGTCTACAAGTATGGTATATATATTGGAATATTTAGGGCTTCCCGTAGGGTCAGAAATGCAGCAAGCGGGTGCTGATCCTTCCAGTTTCCCTGAAGTGATCAGAATGGTTGATTAAACCTTTAGACACAGATCATGATAGGTACTGGAGGCAGCCTTGAAAAGTATTTTATATCCAAGAAAAATATTTCAGTCCTATGTTTCTTTATTTATTTTTTCCTGCAGGAATGTCATAACTTTAAGTTAACACATGAATTTGCTTTAAAACTGCAGTTGAATGATACAACTCAGATTTCCTTGCCAAGTATCATATACTGTATGATAAATAGTTTACAAAATTAATTGTGCATTGGAAGAGATGACACCCAAAGAACATCTTTCAAAAGATCTTTCCATAAAAATGCAAGATCTTGAGGATGAATTTACACAGCCCCATTCCAAATTTTGGGTCATCCCCAGAAATGTGGAAAAGAGGGGAAATCTTCCAATCTGGAGAATAGTTATGGTGACCTGGTGGGCCCTCAGGTATTCACTTAATTTGGCAAGGATTCCCTCTCACTTCTTTTATTTTTGTGATTGGGCAGGAAGTTACATAGTTAAATAGTTTGTCTGTCTCCATCTAGTTCAACCATTAAAAAAAAAAAAATGTTTATTCACATACCCACAGTTGATCCAAAGGAAGGCAAAAACACCCAGCAAAACATGAGCCAATTTATTCCAGCAGGGGAAAAAAATTCCTTCCTGATCTCCCGAGAGGCAAAAGGATATTCCCTGGATCAACTTTAACTATAAATGTTAGTATCCAGTAATCTTATGTATATCTAGGTAATAATCCAGGCCTTTTTTAACCTCTTCATGCCAACAGTACGCAAATATGCAGTCTCTCAGAGGCTGGGCCTTGACATCGAGCAGCCGCATATTTCCGTGCCATTTGTATACAAACGTGCTGATAGCGCGTGCCATGCTTGCTCCCTGCACATGTGTCGGCATCCCATGGAAAGATCCCAATCTCTCCTTGCAATCAGGACATTTCTAATCATGTGACTGCCATGACAGCCAATCACAGTAGTCACATTATTATTATTTATTACATCGAGTTTATATAGCGCCAAAGGGTTTGCTCAGCGCTGTACAATAGAGGGGGGGGACAATACATGAAACAGTACAGCAACTACAAACAGCACAGGAGGGGTTAGAGGGCCCTACTCTTTCGAGCTTACAATCTAGAAGGAGGGCGTAGTGGTACAGGAGGAAATGGCTGTGGGGGATGGAGTGGTGGGAGGAATGAAGGAGACTGGCTGTTAGGTGAGAGTGGGGTAGGCTTTCCTGAAGAGGTGGGTTTTCAGGGAGCGCCTGAAGGTGAGGAGGGAAGGTGACAGTCTGATGGATTGGGGTAGTGGGTTCCAGATGATGGGGGAGGACCTGGAGAAGTCTTGCAGTCGTGCATGGGAGGAGGAGACCAGGGAGCAAGATAGAAGGAGGTCCTGTGAAGAGCGAAGGGTATGGGTAGGATGGTACCTGGGAATCAGGTTGGTGAGGTAGTTAGGGGCAGTGTTGTGAATGGCTTTGTAGGTCAGAGTGAGTAGTTTGAATTGATGCGTTGGGCAATAGGGAGCCAGTGGAGGGATAGGCAGAGGGGGGTGGCAGAGGTGGAGCGGTTGGTGAGGTGGATGAGTCTAGCCGCTGAGTTCAGGATGGTCTGAAGGAAGTGGGGAGAGCCTGCACTGGGGTAGGCCGGTGAGGAGGGAGTTGCAGTAGTCAAGGCGGGAGATAATCAGGGAGTGAACGAGTAGCTTAGTGGTGTCTGGGGTAAGGAAGGAGCGTATCTTGGCGATGTTACGGAGGTGGAGCCTGCATGTGTTTGTAAGTGATTTGACATGAGGTTGGAAGGAAAGGCTTGAGTCCAGAATGATGCCAAGGACTTTGGCTTGTGGGGCGGGATTGATGGTGGTGTTGTTGGTAGTGATGGATAGGATGGGGGGGGGCGCGGGCAGGGGGAAAGACTAGAAGCTCAGTTTTGGAGAGGTTAAGCTTGAGGAAATGGAGCGACATCCAGTCTGAGTCAGTCACATGACCCTAAAGCCCACCCCAGCCTCCCAGTGCCAGAAACCCCTTAATGGGCTGGTAGGCGCCGGTGTGAAGGGGTTAAAGTAATCCACAGAGCTGGCCATAACCAACTCTTGAGGGAGTATATTCCACATTTTCACAGCTCTAACTGTGAAGAAACCTTTCCATGTTTGGAGATTAAATCTCTTTTCCTCCAGATGTAAAGAGTGCCCCCTTATCCTCTGTGATGACCTCAGGGTGTAGCTCTACACCGAGTTCACTATATTAACCACTGATGTATTTATACATGTTGATCATATCTCTCCTAATCTCCTCTTCTCAAGAGAGAATACATTCAGTTCCTCTAATCTTTCCTCATAGCCAAGCTCCTCCATGTCTCTTATCAATTTGGTTTCCCTTCTCTGTACTTTCTCCAGTTCCCCAATGTTCTTTTTGTGAATTGGTGCCCAACACCGAACTGCATATTCCAGATGAGGTCTTACTAATGATTTGTACAGGGGTAAACTTATGTATCTCTCTCTCTGGAGCATCTTTTAATACAAGAGAGGATTTTGTTTTCTTTAGAAACCGCAGCTTGGTATTGCATGCCATTTTTAAGCTTATGATCTACCAGAACTCCCAGATCCTTCTCCACCATTGATTCCCCCAGTTGTACTCCCCCTAGTATGTATGATGCATGCATATTCTTAGCCCCCAAGTCCATAACCTTACATGTATCAACATTAAACCTCATTTGCCACGTAGTTGCCCAATTAAACAGTCCATTGAGGTCGTCTTGTAAGTCATCCTGTATGGAAATTATTCCACTGCACAGCTTGGTGTCATCTGCAAAGACTGAAATGGTATTTTTTAATCCCAGACCCTATATTTATAAATATATTAAAAAGTAAGGGTCCCAACACCACTAACAACCCTAGACCATTCAGAGTATGAATCATTAACCACTACTCTCTGAATTCAGTCTTTTTAGCCAGTTTTCTATCCATTTCCATACAGATTTTTCCAAGCCTGTAGACTTTACCTTACACATTAGCTGTGTGTGGGGAACTGTGCCAAACGCTTTTGCAAAATCCAAGTATACCACGTCACCGCCACCCCTCTGTCCAAGGTTTTGCTCACCTCCTCATAAAAAGAAATCAGATTTGTTTGACAACTTCTGTCTTTCGTGAATCCATGCTGTCTGTTGCTTAAAATATTTTTTTCAAGCAAGAACTCAGCAAGTGAAGGCAAATCTCTCCAATGGGACACTTACGCTATGCAAAATGAAATAAAAACAAGTTTTGCCTGTAGTTCTACTTTAACTCAGAACTTTACTCAAAAGGTGAAGAACTGCTGATTTTCTCTCTCCCTTCTTTTGGGGAGGGGAGTAAGCGAGTATCCGCTTATTGATACCTGCTACCGCTTCCCCAATATTCACTTAGGCAAGGATGATGATCTATTTAGTATATATACTGTATATTTTGTATGTATCTGCAATGCATTTTCCCATGTGTTATTATTTACTGTTGATGTGCCAGGAATATAGTGTGCTCCTAACTTCCTTTTTGCCATGGCCACACTGCTCTGAATTCCTAAGCACATAATGTCAGCCCTGCCTACCTGTGAGCGCTGGAGGGACAGAGTAGAGAGCTGGAGGCTAACAGCCACCAGTTTTCTGCTAAGAGCAGAGGGATGTACTGAGTGATCAGCAGTGTTTGATGGTTCAATTCTCAGTGCAGAGCTGACAGTGGAAAGCTGCAGCATCGGACCGATGTTGCATCCACCTAGGTGAGTATGATTTTTTTATTTTCTTTTTTTTTTACAGGTACGGATACTCAGGTCCCTATACTTCTGTTTTAATTACAGTCAAGATAACAATCAGCAGTAAATGTACATAATGTTAGGTCATGTACACTTGATTTTATTTCTTCTTAGCAGCAGCAGTACCTGAAACATACAAAGAAAACAAAATAATGTATCAATTTCTGTCCCTCTGCCTATCTATGTAACACAACTGTCCCCTATGCTGTCCTTCATTCTGTCTAAATAGGAAATTGAAATTATATATATTGCCAAAAGTATTGGCACACCCCTCCAAATCATCAGATTCAGGTGTTCCAATCACCTCCACGCCCACAGGTGTATACAACCAATAAACATTTGTGAAAGAATGGGTCGTTCTCAGGAGCTCAGTGAATTCAAGCATGATACCATGATAGGTTGCCACCTGTGCAATAACCCTATCCATTAAATTTCCTTGCTACTAATTATTCCACAGTCAACTGTTAGTGGTATTATAACAAAGTGGAAGCAACTGGGAATTACAGCAACTCAGCCATGAAGTGGTAGGCCATGTAAAATGACAGCGGTTTCAGCGCATGCTGAAGCGCACAGTGCGCAGAAGTCTACAACTGTCTGCAGAGTCAATGGCTAAAGACCTCCAGACTTCTTGTGGCCTTCAGAGTAGCACAACCACAGTGTGTAGAGAGCTTCATGCAATGGAAATCCATGGCCGAGCAGAGGCATCCAAGCCTTACATCACCAAGTGCAATGCAAAGCACAGGATGCAGTGGTGTAAAGCATGCTACCACTGGACTCTAGAGAAAAGGAAACGTGTTCTCTGGTGTGACAAATCACACTTCTCTGTCTGGCAATCTAATGGATGTGTCTGAGTTTGGCGGTTGCCAGGAGAATGGTACTTGCCTGACTGCATTGTGACAAGTGTAAAATTTGGTGGAGTATGGTGTGGGTTTGTGTTTCAGGGGTTGGGCTTGGTCCCTTAGTTCTAGTGAAGGGAACTCTTAAGGTGTCAACATGCCAAGACATTTTAGACAATTTCATGCTCCTGTACTCACTTTTTTTGCCAGCGGTTTAGACATTAATGGCTGTGTTGAGTTATTTTGAAGGGACAGCAAATTTACACTGTTATACAAACTGTACACTCACTACTTTACATTGTAGCAAAGTGTTATTTCTGCAGTGTTGTCACATGAAAAGATATAAAATATTTACAGAATTGTGATGTACAGCGCTGAGCGAACTATTGGCGCTTTATAAATACTGTATAATAATAATAATAATTGTGAGGGGTGTACTCACTGCTGTGAGATACTGTATATATATATATATATATATATATATATATATATATATAGCTTCTGGATGCAAATCATTATGAAAGTTAATGTTTCATTTTTTTTTTAAGAATTAAAGGAGATCCTGACCACTGCTCATCTCTTTGGAAGAACACTAGCTGCTCCTGCTTCAATGCGTTTTCAGTCACAGAGCCAAACTTATAGTAGGCTAGTTAGAATTGCACCAACAAAATCAGACATCATCGTCAGAAAAGGCATAGCAAGGCTGACAAGGACAAGTTTGCCAGTTCCATCTCAGTACACCTAAATCTGATGACTACAAGTGTAGAGGAAACCTATTCTGCTAGCTGTTGAGTTCTAGGTGTACAGAATAGGTGAATTACAGTATACTGTAAGTACACAGTGCACCATCCCACCAATGAATATACCAAAACTGTGTAGGGGCTGAATGAATTAGATCTCAGCAGCTGAACTGCACTGGCAAACAGGGTGGCAATGTGGATCTTTTTGTTATACCAAAAATATGTATTACCAACAGTCAGCAATATTATGTGGGTAGCTGTCTACCACCCCTGGTAGCCTTGCCCAAGCCACAAACTATGTTGCCTATTTCAATGTTAAGTCATTAACCTGGAATAAGTTAGACTTGAGTAAAGTGAACTCCTTAGCTGCATTCCTACAATCTGTAAATAACCCCACAAATGCTTATTTAGCTAAATAAGCACAATTTTCCACTGTCCGAAATCTGGACAACTCCATATCAATGCCCATGTTCTTCAAACAGGATATCCAACAAGACCATATAGTTATGATGGTCAGATGTTCATTCATTTTTGGAGTTGATTCACTAAAACGGGAGAGTGCAAAGTCTGGTGCAGCTCAGCTTCCAGGTTTTATTGTCAAAGTTTAATTGAACAAGGTGAAGTTAGAAGCTGATTGGTTACCATACGCTGCTCCACCAGATTTTCCATTCTTGAGTTTTAGTAAATTAACTCCATAGTGTACCGTCTATAATCTTATAATACAGTCTTTTTACTTATATTGTTAAAAACAATAATATATGACCAGATTTAGCTTCATTGTTTTCCTGAAATCTCTGTGCTTTGTTTCAGTTTCTTTATTATAGCTTGCTCTAGTTTCTGACATAATGGTACAAGAGCGGGCATCTTTTGGTATATATTGATTTTACTTACAAAATGTTTGGAGGATGATGCAGAAATCATTGCTGGTTCTACTTGCAAAATATATATTACCGGGTGACAGGCAAGGCTAAAGTGGATTTAAAAAGCATACTTGCCCTGGGAATATAAACACATATATTAGATGAGCACAGGAGTCAGGTTTATCCTTCTTGCATTTTCCATTTTCAGAATCAATTCCTTAAAGGTAGCCTAGCAATGAAACTTTCCCTGGAATTTATTGCATGTACTTTCTGTGTTTTATAAGTTAAGTCAAAAAAAAAAAAATTACTCTGCCTTATATCTGTGGGATAGGGAGGTGAATTAAAGCTGAATTATACGCATCAGTGGTTAGTGGTTGTGAGCTATGGCATTAATCGTTTACTGTCAAGAATTCACCCAGGTGTAATTAGGAGTATTCCAGCTTTATAAATTATTATTGGAAGTTTTACTTTGTAAGGAATAAAATACTGTACACAACATTAGTTGTGTGTTTTAAATAATATCATAGTTAAGTGTACATCTGTCATGCCAATTCAAATATTAAAGACATGCTGATACAAATTTGTTGCATACCCCTGAAGGCCTGTAATTAAAGCAACACTTTAGTTTGCCAGTGTTTATAGAAACTGCTGCCAAATGTAAAATTTTCAGCTTTAAACAACTCACTGATGCATAATCAGTAAACAAAAACTCTGCTCCAGTTTGTCTCCCCAAGTTGCCATTTTGCCTTTCACACAATGTAAAGCAGGTGAAACTTAACTGTCAGTCACAGCTGTCAAGTACAGACACCGCTGCCCTAACATTGTCCGTCATGTGGCAATGCTCTCTGTGAATATCAGTGGCTAGGAGGGGAAGTTAGCGATGGTAAAGGTGTCTTAAGTTATTAACTACTTCAAGTCTAGACACTTTCATCCCCTTCCAGTCCAGTCCAGTCCAATTTTCAGCTTTCAGTACCGTCACACTTTGAGCGACAATTACTGTACCCATATGAGGTTTTTATCAGTTTTTGAGACAGGTATAGCTTTCTTTTGGTGGTATTTAATCACCACTGTTTTTTTCATTTTTTGCTATATAATTAAAAAAATAATGTAAATTTAAAAAAACAAAAAGAAAAAATTTTTTGCTTAATTTTTGTTATAAAATTTTACAAATAAATAATATTTATTCATAAATAACCCAAAACAGTATATTATGTAGTCTGTGTGAAAGGTATAGCGTGTACAAACTATAATATATATATCTGAAAATTGATAAGTTGAGACCCTAAAATGCCAGACATTGGCATTGGGTAAGTTAGTGATCAGGATTAGAGATGAGCGAAGTATTCAAAAATTCGATTCGGCTGATTCGGCGAATTCGAGGAATAAATTTGATTCGATGCGAATATATTCTCTGCGATTTTAACTTATAAAAGGGTGTTTCTAAGCTTCAGAGAGCCTTTATATTAGTGCAGAACACTGTACCTTTAATTTAAATGCCCTTGGAGTCTGCTGGGGAAGAGAAATAATATTGTCAGTCAGTATATGACATGCAGATGAGTGCCGTCGATCTTAGAATCACCGCACACTTAACTCATTTGGGCAGTCACGGGGCCAAAACCAGAGTGTGGAGCCACAGTGCGGCGGTGGAGGCAGCAGCAATGGGAGGCCATACAGCACCCTATGACAAAAATGGAACCCACCAGCAGTGTGAGGAGACCTGAAAGTGGCACATGGCAGAGTGTAGCGATGGAGACAGATGGGAGGCCGTACAGGGACCATGACACACTCTGGACCTGGCAGCAGCATTAGGAGGCCGGTACAGGGGGCCCATGGCAGATTACACGGGCCTGGCACAGCAATGGCAGGCCCGTAATCTGCCAGCACCCTATGACAAAATGGAACACACCAGCAGTGTGAGCGAAAGTGGCACATGGCAGAGTGTGGCGATGGAGACAGCAGCAATGGGAGGCCGTACAGGGGACCCATGAGAGACTCTGGACCTGGCAGCAGCATGAGGAGGCGGTACAGGGGCCCATGGCAGATTACGGGCCTGCAGCAGCAATGAGAGGCCCTAATCTGCCACCACCCTATGACAAAATGGAACCCACCGCAGTAGTGTGAGGAGACCTGAAAGTGGCACATGTTTGGGGCATGATTCATGGCGGATTTAGTCAGTTGTGTCAGGAACTGGTGGTTTGAAATCCAGACTAATCCACGCCTGATTCATTTTCACAAACGTGAGTCTCTCCAAACTTTGGGTGGACAGTCGTGTCCTCCGCGGAGTTCCAATACCTCCTGCCGCACTAAACACGCGCTCCGATGCCACGCTACTGGCCGGGCATGACAGCCTTTCAAGGGCAAAACCCAGCTAGTTGGGGCCAAAGGTCAAGTTTCGTTGCCAGTAGTCAAGGGGATTGTCTACCTCGGTTGGCAGGGTGCTGTCCAAGTAGGCCCAAGCCTGTTGTTTGAGGTCCTGCTCCAGGTCCACCTGATGCTGCTGCGGCTGGTTAGTAGTTTCCTCACTGCGCTGGTGAAGAAAGCTACTCATCATCGACTGCAGACTGAGGCAGCCGCTGCTGGTGGAGCTGCCACTGCTCCTACCACCCCACCCCTCCCCTGCTGCCATGGCAGCGGAACGAGAGCGCACAGGGCCCACAGTTGTCTGAGGATGGACGTTGGCGCAGAAAGGCAGAGACCAGCTGACTATATAGGTGGTTTTTATAGTACTTTATTTTGGCCTCCCTCTCAGCAGGTGTGAAAAAGGCCACCATTTTTGAACGGTAGCGAGGGTCCAACAAGGTGGACAGCAAAAAGTCATCCCTCTGTCTGATGGTTATTATTCGGCTGTCGCTACGCAAGCAAGCGAGCATGCTATGGGCCATTTGTGCCAAGGAATGCGAGGGACTCCCTGCCTCCATCTCCACAGCATACTGCCACGGTGCGTCTGGGTCCTCTGTCTCCTCTCCTCCTCCTCTACAGATGCTCTTGCTCCTCCACTCCTGTCCGCTGAGTGGAAAAAACCACCCATTTCACTCATAATTCCTGAGCACCAATGTCCTCCTCCACCTCCTCCTCTTCTTCCTGTCCTGCCCCCACAGGGGTCATGTGGCGTTGAGATCTGTGCGCCACGTCTACCGTACCCTGACCAGCCATTGTAAACAGATTTGTTCCAGGATGTGCAACAGAGGAATGACGTCGTTCATCCCATAGTCCTGACGACTCACGAATAGGTGGCCTCCTCAAAGGGCCTGAGCAAGCGGCAGGTGTCACGCATGAGCTGCCAATGGCTGACATCTAAGTTACACAGGAGTAACCTTAATCTGCTTGTAACATCAGGAAATCTGTGCTGGCCTTTTCGGTTCGTAAAAGGCGGTTCTAACATATGTAGGGTTGAATTCCACCTTGTTGCAACGTCACATCATGAGGGAGTCGGTACGGGGGCCCATGGCAGATTACGGGCTGGCAGCAGCAATGGGGAGGCCCGTAATCTGCCAGCACCCTATGACAAAAAATGGAACACACCAGCAGTGTGAGGAGACCTGAAAGTGGCACATGGCAGAGTGTGGCGATGGAGACAGCAGCAATGGGAGGCCGTACAGGGACCCATGAGAGACTCTGGACCTGGCAGCAGCATGAGGAGGCGGTACAGGGGCCCATGGCAGATTACGGGCCTGGCAGCAGCAATGGGAGGCCCGTAATCTGCCAGCACCCTATGACAAAAAAAATGGAACACACCAGCAGTGTGAGGAGACCTGAAAGTGGCACATGGCAGAGTGTGGCGATGGAGACAGCAGCAATGGGAGGCCGTACAGGGACCCATGGAGAGACTCTGGACCTGGCAGCAGCATGAGGCCGTACAGGGCGGTACCTACAGGGGGCCATGGCAGATTACGGGCCTGGCAGCAGCAATGGAGGCCCGTAATCTGCCAGCACCCTATGACAAAAAATGGAACACACCAGCAGTGTGAGGAGACCTGAAAGTGGCACATGGCAGAGTGTGGCGATGGAGACAGCAGCAATGGGAGGCCGTACAGGGACCCATAAAATGGAACACACCAGCAGTGTGAGGAGACCTGAAAGTGGCACATGGCAGAGTGTGGCGATGGAGACAGCAGCAATGGGAGGCCGTACAGGGACCCATGAGAGACTCTGGACCTGGCAGCAGCATGAGGAGGCGGTACGGGGGCCCATGGCAGATTACGGGCCTGGCAGCAGCAATGGGAGGCCCGTAATCTGCCAGCACCCTATGACAAAAAATGGAACACACCACAGCAGTGTGAGGAGACCTGAAAGTGGCACATGGCAGAGTGTGGCGATGGAGACAGCAGCAATGGGAGGCCGTACAGGGACCCATGAGACACTCTGGACCTGGCAGCAGCATGAGGAGGCGGTACAGGGGCCCCATGGCAGATTACGGGCCTGGCAGCAGCAATGGGAGGCCCGTAATCTGCCAGCACCCTATGACAAAAAATGGAACACACCAGCAGTGTGAGGAGACCTGAAAGTGGCACATGGCAGAGTGTGGCGATGGAGACAGCAGCAATGGGAGGCCGTACAGGGACCCATGAGACACTCTGGACCTGGCAGCAGCATGAGGAGGCGGTACAGGGGCCCATGGCAGATTACGGGCCTGGCAGCAGCAATGGGAGGCCCGTAATCTGCCAGCACCCTATGACAAAATGGAACCCACCAGCAGTGTGAGGAGACCTGAAAGTGGCACATGGCAGAGTGTGGCGATGGAGACAGCAGCAATGGGAGGCCGTACAGGGACCCATGAGAGACTCTGGACCTGGCAGCAGCATGAGGAGGCGGTACAGGGGCCCATGGCAGATTACGGGCCTGGCAGCAGCAGATGGGAGGCCCGTAATCTGCCAGCACCCTATGACAAAAAATGGAACACACCAGCAGTGTGAGGAGACCTGAAAGTGGCACATGGCAGAGTGTGGCGATGGAGACAGCAGCAATGGGAGGCCGTACAGGGACCCATGAGAGACACACTGGACCTGGCAGCAGCATGAGGAGGCGGTACAGGGGCCCATGGCAGATTACGGGCCTGGCAGCAGCAATGGGAGGCCCGTAATCTGCCAGCACCCTATGACAAAAAATGGAACACACCAGCAGTGTGAGGAGACCTGAAAGTGGCACATGGCAGAGTGTGGCGATGGCGATGGAGACAGCAGCAGCAATGGAGAGGCCGTACAGGGACCCATGAGAGACTCTGGACCTGGCAGCAGCATGAGGAGGCGGTTACAGGGGCCCATGGCAGATTACGGGGCCTGGCAGCAGCAATGGGGGCCCGTAATCTGCCAGCACCCTATGACAAAAAATGGAACACACCAGCAGTGTGAGGAGACCTGAAAGTGGCACATGGCAGAGTGTGGCGATGGAGACAGCAGCAATGGGAGGCCGTACAGGGACCCCATGATGAGACACTCTGGACCTGGCAGCAGCATGAGGAGGGCGGTACAGGGGCCCATGGCAGATTACGGGCCTGGCAGCAGCAATGGGGGGAGGCCCGTAATCTGCCAGCACCCTATGACAAAAAAATGGACACACAGCAGTGTGAGGAGACCTGAAAGTGGCACATGGCAGAGTGTGGCGATGGAGACAGCAGCAATGGGAGGCCGTACAGGGACCCATGAGACACTCTGGACCTGGCAGCAGCATGCAGCATGAGGAGGCGGTACAGGGGGCCCATGGCAGATTACGGGGCCTGGCAGCAGCAGCAATGGGAGGCCCGTAATCTTGCCAGCACCCTATGACAAAAAATGGAACACACCAGCAGTGTGAGGAGACCTGAAAGTGGCACATGGCAGAGTGTGGCGATGGAGACAGCAGCAAATGGGAGGGAGGCCACAGGGACCCATGAGGGACCCATGAGACACTCTGGGGACCTGGCAGCAGCATGAGGAGGCGGTACAGGGGCCCATGGCAGATTACGGGCCTGGCAGCAGCAATGGGGAGGCCCGTAATCTGCCAGCCAGCACCCTATGACAAAAAATGGAACACACAGCAGCAGTGTGAGGAGACCTGAAAGTGGCACATGGCAGAGTGTGTGGCGATGGAGACAGCAGCAATGGGAGGCCGTACAGGGACCCATGAGACACTCTGGACCTGGCAGCAGCATGAGGAGGCGGTGGTACAGGGGCCCATGGCAGATTACGGGCCTGGCAGCAGCAATGGGAGGCCCGTAAATCTGCCAGCACCCTATGACAAAAAATGGAACACACCAGCAGTGTGAGGAGACCTGAAAGTGGCACATGGCAGAGTGTGGATGGATGGACCAGCAGCAATGGGAGGGCCGTACAGGGACCCATGAGAGACTCTGGACCTGGCAGCAGCAGCATGAGGAGGCGGGGTACAGGGGCCCATGGCAGATTACCGGGGCCTGGCAGCAGCAATGGGAGGCCCGTAATCTGCCAGCACCCTATGACAAAAAATGGAAACACACCAGCAGTGTGAGGAGACCTGAAAGTGGCACATGGCAGAGTGTGGCGATGGAGACAGCAGCAATGGCAATGGGAGGCCGTACAGGGGGACCCATGAGACTCTGGACCTGGCAGCAGCATGAGGGGCATGGGGGGGCAGGGGCCCATGGCAGATTACGGGCCTGGCAGCAGCAATGGGAGGCCCGTAATCTGCCAGCACCCTATGACACAAAAAATGGAACACACCAGCAGTGTGAGGTGAGGAGACCTGAAAGTGGTGGCACATGGCAGTGTGTGGCGATGGAGACAGCAGCAATGGGAGAGGCCGTACAGGGACCCATGAGAGACTCTGGGGACCTGGCAGCAGCATGAGGAGGCGGTACAGGGGGCCCATGGCAGATTACGGGGCCTGGCAGCAATGGGAGGCCCGTAATCTGCCAGCACCCTATGACAAAAAAATGGAACACACACCAGCAGTGTGAGGAGACCTGAAAGTGGCACATGGCAGAGTGTGTGGCGATGGAGACAGCAGCAATGGAGAGGCCGTACAGGGACCCATGAGACACTGTGGACCTGGCAGCAGCATGAGGAGGCGGTACAGGGGCCCATGGCAGATTACGGGCCCTGGCAGCAGCAATGGGAGGCCCGTAATCTGCCAGCACCCTATGACAAAAAATGGAACACACCAGCAGTGTGAGGGAGACCTGAAAGTGGCACATGGCAGAGTGTGGCGATGGAGACAGCAGCAATGGGAGGCCGTACAGGGACCCATGAGACACTCTGGACCTGGCAGCAGCAGCATGAGGAGGCGGTACAGGGGCCCATGGCAGATTACGGGCCTGGCAGCAGCAGCAATGGGAGGCCCGTAATCTGCCAGCACCCTATGACAAAAAAATGGAACACACCAGCAGTGTGAGGAGACCTGAAAGTGGCACATGGCAGAGTGTGGCGATGGAGACAGCAGCAATGGGAGGCGTACAGGGACCCATGAGAGACTCTGGACCTGGCAGCAGCATGAGGAGGCGGTACGGGGGCCCATGGCAGATTACGGGCCTGGCAGCAGCAATGGGAGGCCCGTAAATCTGCCAGCACCCTATGACAAAAAATGGAACACACCAGCAGCAGTGTGAGGAGAGACCTGAAAGTGGCACATGGCAGAGTGTGGCGATGGAGACAGCAGCAAATGGGGAGGCCGTACAGGGACCCATGAGAGACTCTGGACCTGGCAGCAGCATGAGGAGGCGGTACAGGGCCCATGGCAGATTACGGGCCTGGCAGCAGCAATGGGAGGCCCCGTAATCTGCCAGCACCCTATGACAAAAAATGGAACACACCAGCAGTGTGAGGAGACCCTGAAAGCACACATGGCAGAGTGTGGCGATGGAGACAGCAGCAATGGGAGGCCGTACAGGGACCCATGAGAGACTCTGGACCTGGCAGCAGCATGAGGAGGCGGTACGGGGGCCCATGGCAGATTACGGGCCTGGCAGCAGCAATGGGAGGCCCGTAATCTGCCAGCACCCTATGACAAAAAATGGAACCCACCAGCAGTGTGAGGAGAGACCTGAAAGTGGCACATGGCAGAGTGTGGCGATGGAGACAGCAGCAATGGGAGGCCCGTACAGGGACCCATGAGAGACACTCTGGACCTGGCAGCAGCATGAGGAGGCGGTACAGGGGCCCATGGCAGATTACGGGCCTGGCAGCAGCAATGGGAGGCCCGTAATCTGCCAGCACCCTATGACAAAAAATGGAACACACCAGCAGTGTGAGGAGACCTGAAAGTGGCACATGGCAGAGTGTGGCGATGGAGACAGCAGCAATGGGAGGCCAGTACAGGGACCCATGAGACACTCTGGACCTGGCAGCAGCATGAGGAGGCGGTACAGGGGGGCCCATGGCAGAGATTACGGGCCTGGCAGCAGCAATGGGAGGCCCGTAATCTGCCAGCACCCTATGACAAAAAATGGAACACACCAGCAGTGTGAGGAGACCTGAAAGTGGCACATGGCAGAGTGTGGGCGATGGAGACAGCAGCAATGGGAGGCCGTACAGGGACCCATGAGACACTCTGGACCTGGCAGCAGCATGAGGAGGCGGTACAGGGGCCCATGGCAGATTACGGGCCTGGCAGCAGCAATGGGAGGCCCGTAAATCTGCCAGCACCCTATGACAAAAAATGGAACACCACCAGCAGTGTGAGGAGACCTGAAAGTGGCACATGGCAGAGTGTGGCGATGGAGACAGCAGCAATGGGAGGCCCGTACAGGGACCCATGAGAGACTCTGGACCTGGCAGCAGCATGAGCGGTACAGGGGCCCATGGCAGATTACGGCCTGGCAGCAGCAATGGGAGGCCCGTAATCTGCCAGCACCCTATGACAAAAAAATGGAACACACCAGCAGTGTGAGGAGACCTGAAAGTGGCACATGGCAGAGTGTGGCGATGGAGACAGCAGCAATGGGAGGCCGTACAGGGACTCCTATGAGAGAGACTGTGGGACCTGGCAGCAGCATGAGGAGGCGGTACAGGGGCCCATGGCAGATTACGGGCCTGGCAGCAGCAATGGGAGGCCCGTAATCTGCCAGCACCCTATGACAAAAATGGAACACACCCAGCAGTGTGAGGAGACCTGAAAGTGGCACATGGCAGAGTGTGGCGATGGAGACAGCAGCAATGGGAGGCCGTACAGGGACCCATGAGACACTCTGGACCTGGCAGCAGCATGAGGAGGAGACGGTACAGGGGCCCATGGCAGATTACGGGCCTGGCAGCAGCAATGGGAGGCCCGTAATCTGCCAGCACCCTATGACAAAAAAATGGAACACACCAGCAGTGTGAGGAGACCTGAAAGTGGCACATGGCAGAGTGTGGCGATGGAGACAGCAGCAATGGGAGGCCGTACAGGGACCCATGAGACACTCTGGACCTGGCAGCAGCATGAGGAGGCGGTACAGGGGCCCATGGCAGATTACAGGCCTGGCAGCAGCAATGGGAGGCCCGTAATCTGCCAGCACCCTATGACAAAAAATGGAACACACACCAGCAGTGTGAGGAGACCTGAAAGTGGCACATGGCAGAGTGTGGCGATGGAGACAGCAGCAATGGGAGAGGCGTACAGGGACCCATGAGAGACTCTGACCTGGCAGCAGCATGAGGAGGCGGTACGGGGGGCCCATGGCAGATTACGGGCCTGGCAGCAGCAATGGGAGGCCCGTAATCTGCCAGCACCCTATGACAAAAAATGGAACACACCAGCAGTGTGAGGAGACCTGAAAGTGGCACATGGCAGAGTGTGGCGATGGAGACAGCAGCAATGGGAGGCCGTACAGGGACCCATGAGACACTGTGGACCTGGCAGCAGCATGAGGAGGCGGGTACAGGGGCCCATGGCAGATTACGGGCCTGGCAGCAGCAATGGGAGGCCCGTAATCTGCCAGCACCCTATGACAAAAAATGGAACACACCAGCAGTGTGAGGAGACCTGAAAGTGGCACATGGCAGAGTGTGGCGATGGAGACAGCAGCAATGGGAGGCCGTACAGGGACCCATGAGACACTGTGGACCTGGCAGCAGCATGAGGAGGCGGTACAGGGGCCCATGGCAGATTACGGGGCCTGGCAGCAGCAATGGGAGGCCCGTAATCTGCCAGCACCCTATGACAAAAAATGAACACACCAGCAGTGTGAGGAGACCTGAAAGTGGCACATGGCAGAGTGTGGCGATGGAGACAGCAAGCAGCAATGGGAGGCCCGTACAGGGACCCATGAGAGACTCTGGACCTGGCCGCAGCAGCATGAGGAGGCGGTACAGGGGCCCATGGCAGATTACGGGCCTGGCAGCAGCAATGGGAGGCCCGTAATCTGCCAGCACCCTATGACAAAAAATGGAACACACCAGCAGTGTGAGGAGACCTGAAAGTGGCACATGGCAGAGTGTGGCGATGGAGACAGCAGCAATGGGAGGCCGTACAGGGGACCCATGAGACACTCTGGACCTGGCAGCAGCATGAGGAGGCGGTACAGGGGCCCATTGGCAGATTACGGGCCTGGCAGCAGCAATGGGAGGCCCGTAATCTGCCAGCACCCTATGACAAAAAATGGAACACACCAGCAGTGTGAGGAGACCTGAAAGTGGCACATGGCAGAGTGTGGCGATGGAGACAGCAGCAATGGGAGGCCGTACAGGGACCCATGAGACACTCTGGACCTGGCAGCAGCATGAGGAGGCGGGTACAGGGGCCCATGGCAGATTACGGGCCTGGCAGCAGCAATGGGAGGCCCGTAATCTGCCAGCACCCTATGACAAAAAATGGAACACACCAGCAGTGTGAGAGAGACCTGAAAGTGGCACATGGCAGAGTGTGGCGATGGAGACAGCAGCAAATGGGGAGGCCGTACAGGGACCCATGATCGAACACTGTGGACCTGGCAGCAGCATGAGGAGGCGGTACAGGGGCCCATGGCAGATTACGGGCCTGGCAGCAGCAATGGGAGGCCCGTAATCTGCCAGCACCCCTATGACAAAAAATGAAACACACCAGCAGTGTGAGGAGACTGAAAGTGGCACAATGGCAGTAGTGTTTGAGTGTGGCGATGGAGACAGCAGCAATGGGAGGCCGTACAGGGACCCATGAGAGACTCTGGACCTGGCAGCAGCATGAGGAGGCGGTACAGGGGCCCATGGCAGATTACAGGGCCTGGCAGCAGCAATGGGAGGCCCGTAATCTGCCAGCACCCTATGACAAAAAATGGAACACACCAGCAGTGTGAGGAGACCTGAAAGTGGCACATGGCAGAGTGTGGCGATGGAGACAGCAGCAATGGGAGGCCGTACAGGGACCCATGAGAGACTCTGGACCTGGCAGCAGCATGAGGAGGCGGTACAGGGGGCCCATGGCAGATTGCGGGCCTGGGCAGCAGCAATGGGAGGCCCGTAATCTGCCAGCACCCTATGAACAAAAAATGGAACACCACCAGCAGTGTGAGGAGACCTGAAAGTGGCACATGTTTGGGGTCATGATTCATGGCGGATTTAGTCAGTTGTGTCAGGACTGGTGGTTTGAAATCCAGACTAATCCACGCCTGATTCATTTTCACAAACAAGTAGTCTCTCCACACTTTGGCCCTAATGGACATTTGTGTCTCGGGCGCGACGAAGGTTCCAATACCTCCTGCCGAGCACTAAACACCCAGCGCTCCGATGCCTGACGCTACTGGCCGGGCATTAGACAGCCTTTCAAGGGCATATTCAGATAGTTGGGGCCAAAGGTCAAGTTTCGATTGCCCAGTTGTCAAGGCCCGGATTGTCTACACGGAGCATTGGCAGGGTTGCTGTCCAAGAAGTAGGCCCATGCCTGTTTGTTTGAGGTCCTGCTCTAGGTCCACCTGATGCCTGCTGCTGCTGCTCCGTATGCTGAGTTAGTAGTTTCCTCACTGCGCTGGTTGAAGAAAGCTACTCATCATCGACTGCAATTACTGAGGCAGCCGCTTGCTGGTGGAGCTTGCCACTGAGCTCCTACCTAGACCGCTACCCCCACCCCTCCCCTGCTGCCATTCTTCGCCAGCGGAACGCGAGCGCACAGGTTCCACAGTGTCTGAGGATGGACGTTGGCGCACCAAAGGCAGAAAGAACCAACTGGGCTGCGACCTACATAGGTGGTTTTTTATAGTACCTTATTTTGGCCTCACCCTCTCAGCAGGTGTGAAAAAGGCCACCATTTTATGAACGGTTATGCGAGGGTCCAACAAGGTGGACAGCAAAAGTCATCCCTCTGTCTGATGTGGTTATTATTCGGCTGTCGCTACGCAAGCAAACCGAGCATGCTATGGGTCCATTTGTGCCAAGGAATTGTGAGGGACTCCCTGCCTCCATCTCCACAGCAAAAATAACTGCCACGGTGCGTCTGGGTCCTCTGTCTCCTTCCTCCTCCCTCCTCTACCAGATGCTCCTGCTCCTCCACTGGCTGTTCCCTGATGAGTGGAAAAAAACCACCCATTTCACTCAATAATTCCTGAGCACAAATATGTCACTTCTGCTACCTCCTCCTCTTCTCCTGTCCCCTGCCCCCACAGGGGTCATGTGGCGTTGAGATCTGTGCGCAACACGTCTACCGCACCCTGACCAGCCATTGTTAACAGCATTTGTTCCAGGACGTGCAACAGAGGAATGACGTCGTTCATGGAGAGCCCATAGTCTGCCGACTCACGAATAGCGTGGCCTCCTCAAAGGGCCTGAGGCAAGCGGCAGGTGTCACGCATGAGCTGCCAAATGCTGACATCGAAGTTACAGCAGGGGAGTACCTTTTATCCGCTTGTAACATCAGGAAATCGGCTGATGGCCTTTCACTGTTCGTAAAGGCGGTCTAAACCATGTGTAGGGTTGAATTCCACCTTGTTGCAACTCGCAGATCAGGGGTGATGCTGTGGAATTCCGTTCTCTGCCGCTGCAGCTCAAGGAGGGTGTGCTTTGCGGAGTAGGAATGGCTGAAAATGCATGCAAAGTTTTACGTGGCATTTTCTTAAGGATGTCTTGCAGTGGGATGGTGGATTTTAGGAACCGCTTGACAACCAGATTGAACACGTGACCATGCATGGCGCATGGCACAACCTTCCTTGACGCAGAGCAGAACAACCATGTGTTCTTTCCGTTGACGGTCAACATGGTTCCGATTTTTCAGTTTGCGCGGAGACAGCCATCTGTCGATTTCTCTGTTCATTACACTGAGAAGTTCCTCCCCTGTGTGACTACGTTCGCCAAGGCATACCAGGTGCAGCACAGCGTGACACCGTTGCGCCCTGCACATGTGATATGCCGGTCCTGGGTAATGGGACTTGGGTGGGGGCTGGCGGGGTGGCGGCTGAGGACACGGCGGCTGAAGAAGAGTGGTAGAGGCGGACATCTTTTGTGGACCAAGGACGTGCAAACGTGGAGGCAAAAAGCGGCGTGACCTGTCCAAGTTGCTGGTGCGGCTGTGCCGGCACCACACGTTCAACCCAGTGGGCCGTAAATGACATGTACTGTCCCTGACCGTAGTTACAGCTCCACACCTCGGCGCTGCCTGTGCACTTTAGGCAGAGACCGACATGCTCAAAGACTGGCCCACCATCAAATCTCTTCTACATGTGAATGCAGGGCTGGCACTGCCTTTTTGGCGAAGAAAAGACGGGTCTTGGCATTCTCCACCGCGGCGCGGCACAAGCCATCATTTCTCGAAAGGTGCTGAGTCCACCACTTGGAAAGGGAAGGGACTGCAGCACCACAACTTGGACAGGAGGACGTTCAGGCTTTTTTGCACCGTCTGGTGCCGTGCTCGCAAACTGTTCTGTCTCTTGGAAACGGATTCCAAGAAAGACTGCTGATGGAATCCGTGAAAGAGGAGTAGCAGGAGAAGGAGCATCTGAAAGGAGCGGAAGATGCCAACGAGCGACAACTCCCCTCATTCAGAGGTGTTGGAGCCTTGACTGGCTGATAGAGGGCGATTGACGTCGGTGACGGAGCAAGTAATTCGGAGCGGGTGATGGAGCGGGGCGCTGGGGCAGCTAAGAACCGCCGTATCTTTATCATGGTTTTCCCAGGCCACCAAATGGCGACGCTGCATATGCTGCCGCAACGCTGTAGTCCCAACATGGGGGCCCCCTGGCCACGCTTGACTTTCTTGCCACATCAGTCGAACATACGGCTACTTTTACTTCCTCGGAAGCGGCTTGACGAAAAATTGCCACCCGCCGACCAGTAGGAAAACTTTGTGCCCCCGATACTCCTCACTGCTGACTGCTACTTCCTCCGTGGCACACCGGCACCACTATGGCCGTGGTGGTAGGCTGCAGTGGAGCCTGGTGCCTCTATCTCCGTGGCCTTCTGTTTGCCCCCACTGACACTGCTGCGACCCTGCTGCCCATCCTGGGCAACCACCCGACAGTTTGTTGCCGCTGCCTGCAAGCTGCCACCCTCTTCTCACCTGATGATAGTCCGGAGCAATAGCCTGATGACGGACGATGCTGCCAAGTGCGATCAAGACCTCATCAATCATCAATTAGGGTCTCCGCCTCACTACTAGCCCCCCTCGGCTGCGTGTGGTCAGGAGACAACCTGTCTCTAGACAGGCACCCCGAGGCCCACTCTCCCTCGCCATAAACTTTCTTCGCCTGGCGCTGCTGAAGAGGCGGATGTCTCCCCACGTTCCTGAACCCGCCCTCTGTTTAGCTCTTCCCTCCCGTCAACTTGTACAGTTGGGCCCTGAGCCCACAGCATGCGATCTTCGCTGTGGAGTGTAGGGAACACCAAAGGACAGGGCCAGGTAGAGGACACGTGATTTCAGTGTGCTTGCTCCCAGGGTCCGATGGCCAACTAACGGTTGTCCTGACCGT